TCTGTTGCTTAGAGTACAGTTTAAGCTCTCAGGTGCTAAGTGTGGAAATGCTTTCAAATTTCAAATGTCAGTTAAAGCTGCTTTTCTCAATCTTTTTTTTTTTTTTTAATTTCTATTGGAACCTCTTGTAATTTTGTTCTCAGCACAGAAGTGCTAATTAATATGCACACACCAAAACCCACACTTTTTAAAGGCGTATTCCTTGTTTGAGAAGGACAACTGCACTTTGCCTCTTGTATTTATAAGGAGGATTGTTTACTATGTTCCAAGCTACGTAGGAAAGTCATTACTTTGCAGCTGAGGGCATAATCATGAAGACCACATGCTGCACAGGGTTGACCAAGAGCATAACATGAAAAGTGGACATTTCCAAGGAAAAGATCCTAACTCGCTCCTTAGAGCTCAGATGAAGGTAGAAATTAACTGTAATCAACACTGGGCAACCACTTTTGATCTGAAAATCAAGGGCAGGCAGGTGCTCCCAAAGCAGTCTTTAGTTTCTTTACTAGCTCCCCTTTCCACAGAGAACCATGTGACAAGGAAAACCACATCAAACGGGCATTTTGGATATGGAAGCCAATGGAGAGTAGGACTTAGTGACGTTCCACTGCCTACACCAAACCTCCTTTTGACACAGAGTCGAGTGAAGGGGCATCCACTGCTGTCAGGTAGGGTTTTGTGAAGACAGCAAGATAATGAGCCCTAGTACAAAACAGTGCTGGCAGTCTTTGTTCCAAATGAAGTCAATGGCAACTGCAGCTGCTCAGAACAGATGTAAATTAGAGCATCCTGGTACATCTAATCATGGCTGAAGGAGATACATGGGAGACAACAATGTCTGGTGAAGAGAGGACTTCACTGGGAATAAAAAGAATCCTGGGCCAGATTCACAACAGTTTGCCTGTAAAATAGCAGCCCAACTTGACAGATATAGGTACAAAAAGGCTGAAATTTTCATTCAGCCATATAATCACATAAAGATAAACCTTATAAATCAGGTGACGTAAGCAGCAGCAATGTATCGCCAGGTCCCTCATTGTTAGGTTCAAGAAATACTGAGAAAAGCTTTTCCACTGCGTAACCGTAGTTCAAACATATATTCAGCTCATCCTTTCAACCAGTATTCTGCCACTACATATGTAGGGCACTCTCCCTTCCCCAGTCAACTAAATTAGGCAAGCCAAACCTTATTTGATTACATTATATAATTCAAGGTATGTCTACATTAGGGGTGCTGCCAGTATAGAACCAAAACCCTTTGACACCATTACACAGCATAATTATATACTGGCAAAAAGAGTCAAGTCTATACCTGGTCGGGAATAGCTGCCACTCATGGAAAGCTAGTCAAGTTACTCATGTTAGCTCCAGCAGCGAGAGCCAGCACTTCATTCCTGCATGTTTGGTATCCTTGAAGTACGACATATGCAGTGTGTGTGACCCACTCTTTCATATAATAAACATTTCAAGCATAGAAGAGGGAAAAGGGGAGAAAAAGATCACAGTTATTATATCATTGTTTTTTTGCTTACCACAAGTCCTAGCACAAGGGTACGCACTCTCTCCCCAATCTCTGGTGAAATGTCATTGCCAAACTGCTGTAAGGTTGTAAGAAATCTCTTCAGTTTGCTGAGTTGCCTAGCTCCACAAGCTGGCGGTAACTGCTGGTTAGCCAGAGAAGAGGAAGAGGAAGAGGATGGCCCATTGCTAAAGCCATTAGGAGGAGATGGAGCTCCATTTAACGCTGTTGGTGAATGGCTAGTGCCATTGGTTACTAAAAGAGAGAAGGGAGGATAAAATAGAGGGGGAAAGAAAGAGAGAGAGACAGAAGACAGGGGAAAATCCATCAGCTTATGTTTTCTATGCTTGACCTCAAAATTAATTAAGTTGCACAATCAAAGATAATTAGCCTTTTGACAGAGTAACACTCTGCAGTTTATATTTATTTCCCAGTAGCTGGTACTGAACGGTGTATGGATTGAAAGTTACAGCAGCTGCCTCTCACACAGTCCCCTCAAAATGCTCCTGGACCTGAAAAACATTATTTGAATATCAGCCTTTTGACAGAGGATTTTAAAAAGAGAGACAGAGAAATGAAGAGAGAGAGAGCACGAGTGCATGTATGATCGAAGACAAAAAAAAATTGCTCTTTGGGGTAAAAAAAATGTGCAGACATATTTCACGAAGCCTCAGTTTATCTCTGAATATTTTTACTTGTGATTTGTACACACAACTGACAGCTGTGTTTATAAAACAGGACTTTCACGTTTTAACCTTATACCACTCAATGAGAAGGTTATTTTTTCTGATACAGATTTCCTAGCTGCTAACATATGGAGCATGTAAAGTTGTTTGTGCAGGTACAAATGGTGCCATGCTCACTGTGGCCTGAAGCCCTGCAGCTAGGGCATGAAGCTAGACTTCAGAAGACTTCTCAGAGACCACGAGCACATCACTCAGCTTTCATGTGCCAATACCATATCTCTAAAAAGGATATCCCTCCTGTTGCAAGGCTGCTGTGAGAATAACCATGTAAAGTACTAAATGTTCAAAATTCATTGCAACAAGATTCATGCAGACATACTGAAGACAACAACAGACAGTTTTTGGCAGCAATTTCAGTTTGATTCTTATCCACACTCCAGAGGAGAGCAGAGAATGAAACTGAGGACATCCTTTTCCACCCAGGTTACTTGGAACACCAACAGTCAAACAGACTCTGTTGAGGTTGTTTAAGTCTGGCTTGCCAAAATGACAGAGAATGGCAAGAAAAAGGACTGTCTAGAAATACAAATGCCCCACTGCACTGGCAGGTGTGGGTATGCAGCACCCAACTGCACCCAGCAGCAGCCATGTTCAGCTGGCCATTACCCTGGAGAAATTTTCTGATTTCCTTTTGGGAAGTCATTCAGAACTCATCCCAAAAAACATCAAAAATTAGGAACTTGTCTACAATCAAAAATGCACAGGAGTATTAGTCTAAATTGCTTCCTATTTAAAAGCATAACCATGGTGAGCTAACAACTTAAAGAACTTTCAACGTCTCTTAATGACCAGCCTCTCTGAGGCCAAACATTGCTTGCTTTCTCAATTTCTCCATCAGTCATCTTTATTTTTAGACAGCAAGTGAGTCCTTTTGAGGGTGAACACCTACTACTATATTTAAATCACCACCACAATACTTTTGAAGGAGCTTTTGCCCTAGTGACTGAAGTGCCCTTCTGGAGGTACTACAGAAAAAGCTATCTGAATGGTCATCTAGTTTCTGATTACGTTTCATCCTAGGTTTTGGTTGCCTATTTTAGCTGCGTGGGCTAGGCAGAACAAGTGGAAAAGTGGAAAAAGCAGAAACAGAAAGAAGCTGGCCTCAGCAAGTTCAGCTCCACATGCAGCTCCAAGTCACGCTCTCGGAGGCTGCAGTAGAGTGAGATATGAGTAAACAAATAACATCGTGATTGCAAAGAACTTGCATAGCCAAAAGTCATCATACCATGAACTTAGTAAATGAGGACTGGGAAGAGTAAGAATATATTCTACTTTAGCCTGACACCACCCAACAACTCAGTCACTGTTAAGGGGCTGCTCTAGGGAGAGGGTCCTGGGGCTATGATCAATAAAGCACAGAACTGCAGGGTTCATTACCTAGGGTAGATATGAGGAGGAGAAAGGGAGGTAAAATTTCTCCCACAACAAAAGAAATATATAAATACTCCCTAGATACAGCTTCTCTAAGACCTTTTTTTTTTTTAAATAGCCTGCCCATGCTAATGATTTTATCTCTTTCTTTATAATGTCTGAATTTACCAACTGGCAAAGATCTTTGTCATTTCTAAAACAAAACCACATTATTAACAAAGCAGAATTTTGTATTTAAAATTTCAAACTAATACACATCAAGAGTTTTTTATCATCTAAGCAAAAGAAAACAAGAATACTCTTGACCAGAAAACAAGTATGATCTTCCTGGCCCACAGGTATTCCCACTGTAATAATGTATGAAACAGACACTCCTACAGAAGTGGCTGTTTTCTGTACAAGCTGGAACTGCTAAGGCCAAACTCCAAAATCTGAAAGGGTAAAAGGCAATTAAAATTAGACTTTTTGTCTTCATATAAACAGCCCCCAAAATCCAGCTATGGTTCACACACCTTCCAAAGTGTTCAGACCAAATCAAATGAACAAACATCCAGAAATCTTGTGAGTGCACTGAGGATTTTAAGAGTGACTGAAGAAGAACATCGTTCTATTCCTTTGATGATTGACAAAGATTACCCTAAACTATGCAAAGTGCATCACACTGGAATGCTTAATCTGCAAGAGCCCTATCCTGTAAAAAACTAGAAACAATTCCATTTCAGACTGGAGCGCTCCTAGGATGACTCAGGTACTAGAGTTAAGCAAAACAGACAAATCTGTGCAGGATCAGGGTCACTGGGTTAAATTTGAGTTTATGCGAAAAGCCGGCACAAACCCTCCTCACTGTTTAAGTTCAATGTAAATCGTCAAGACAGGGCTCCCTAGCATAAGTAGTACAAAGGCCTCTGCTGGCCTTCTGCACAGAGGTAAATTTTAAATAAAGCATTTAACAGACAGAAAGGCACTAAACAGACATGGGCAAGACAAATAGAAGATGCTGCCTTCATTCTGTTTAGGCATATGTATTCTACTGTTCTAAAAATGTTTTATTTAAAATGTGAAATGTAAACACATTCTCATGTTTATACTATTACAAGGCAGTATAAAAGAGACCAAAAAATTTGCAGCTAAATCTTGGTAAGAGAAATGTGGATCATTTCATGGCTGTGAAAAGAATAGTCCAGACAACATGTCAGATTCAAATCTCAGTTACACGGATACAAATGCAGAGTAATTCCATCAAGACTAGTAGAGTTTCCTCTGTGTTTACATCAATAAACTGAGATACAGATGCAGCCCCAAGTGATTCAGAGAAATGGTCACAGACTAGAAATCTCTAGATAAAAGTTTAAAAGGCCTTTATTTTTGGTTTAACTAAACATTATATAGCACTTAAATCAGAATTCTCCATTCAGTCATAAGTGGGATGAAGATAAGCATTTTCTTTATGAATTAATTACCCCCACTTTAAAAAAGATAAACGAACAAAACCCCCGAAGTTTCTATACAAAAGGGAACAGGATCCTTTAAACAACAGAACGGTATAAAAGAGAAGAAGATTTTCTGTACTTCTCACAGAAGGACTGATCTGAGCATTAAGTACATGGGAAACCAGTGCTCACTGTTCTCTTGACACTGCGACCAAGCTGTCAATGAAATAACAACACAACTCTGAGCTAAATATCTTGATACCTTAAAGATGCATTAATCTGTTGTGAACTTAGTTTTGCTTAATTACTTTACTGCAGTACAACCAAATGCTGCTCCCACCATGTCATGCAGTTTCCTCCTCACATATTTTGGTTTCTTACATACAGAATAGAAAGAATATGGAAGAAAAGGAACAAAATAAGTCTAATTACACGTTGTGGGCGTGAATGAACTGGTTCTTGGAGCTCCTTGGGTAGTGGGAGGAGGTGGCATGGTTGGAGGCGTCAGCCTGGATTGTGTCTTCACATCCACAGGTGAGTCTGGCATTGTGGAATGCTTCTCAGTGCGATCTGCAACACACACCACAGGAACACACCGGTTTATTTCCCCAAGCACACCCCCTCCAACAAAAACTTAAAAGCTAACACAAGAAGTGAGCCATTTCAATATCTGCTGCAAAAAATACACCTGATTATCTAGTCCAGTGTGCTCTTCACAAATTACATCACCCAAACCTTACTTAAGAAGGTGTAACACAGATGGTAAGACCTCATTTGTAGCGCTGCTGCATTATCTTTTGTTTTTATTTCTAGCATGTGCAGATGCTACCTCCCAAGCACTCCTGGGGCTGCAACAATGCCACTTCCCTTCAAGGCTCTCATGTTAGCCAGGAGGAAAAAACAGACTGAGAGACAGGAAGGTAGTAAAACCCCTTATGACAGTTCTTGCAGAACTAAACCCTGACGCTCTTTAGTACAGGTGAGATATTGGGTGGGATACTAGTTGAAGCCAGCTCTCTTCATGTCTCTTCTTTCTAACACCTGATGCCCTCTCCATCACTTTTCCTTGTAATCATGGAGAGACACTTATGTTAAATACCATGTGCCTCCTGGATCACCTTAGCACCTGCCCCTGGATATTCTTACATCCACCAGAAAAATAAACACAACATACCAAAATACTAAGTCAATCGTCACACATACATATCATTGTTTTTTTTTAAAAAAAGTATCTAAGTTTGCACTTTCACACATTAAGAACAAATTTAATGTTCAAAACCTGCAAGACAAGTAGAAATATACCTCCCCAAGAAAACAAATTGCAAAACCAGGCAGAAAACCTAACAGTTCTCTTGCAACTATCGATCTAAAGATGGAAGATATTTGATACAGAAGCTAAAGAAGTATCTTCTTTTTCCAACATCTTTTTGGACACCTCTATGTTAAGCTCATCCTGGCTGTTACCTCTAAACAGGTGGAGAAAAAGAAGATTATCACGAGTAGTCAGCATGGATTCACCAAGGGGAAATCATGCCTGACCAACCTGATAGCCTTCTATGATGGCACGACTGGCTGGGTAGACGAGGGGAAAGCAGTGGATGTTGTCTACCTCGACTTTAGCAAGGCTTTTGACTCTGTCTCCCACCACATCCTCATACGTAAGCTTAGGAAGTGTGGGATAGATGAGTGGACAGTGAGGTGGAATGAGAACTGGCCAAGGGACAGAGCTCAGAGGGTTGTGATCAGTTGTGCTGAGTCTAGTTGGAGGCCTGTGACTAGCGGTGTTCCCCAGGGGTCAGTACTGGGTCCAGACTTATTCAACATATTCATCCATGACGTGGATGAAGGGACAGAGCGCACCCTCAGCAAGTTTACTGGCAATACCAAACTGGGAGGAGTGGCTGACACCCCAGAGGGCTGTGCTGCCATTCAGCGAGACCTGGACAGGCTGGAGAGTTGGATGCAGAGGAACCTAATGAGGTTCAATAAGGGCAAGTGTAGGGTTCTGCACTTGGGGAGGGATAACCCCATGCACCAGTACAGGCTGGGGGTCAAGCTGCTGGAGAGCAGCTCTGCGGAGAAGGACCTGGGAGTTCTGGTAGACAACAAGTTGGCCATGAGCCATCAATGTGCCCTTGTGGCCAAGAAGGCTAATGGTATCCTGGGGTGCGTTAAGAAGAGGGTGGCCAGCAGGTCGAGGGAGGTTATTCTCTCTCTCTACTTTGCCTGGTGAGGCCACACCTGGAGTACTGTATTCCGTTCTGGGCCCCCCAGTTCAAGAGGGACGGGGAACTACTGGAGAGAGTCCAGCGGAAAGCTACTAAGATGACTGAGGTGACTGGAGCATCTGCCCTACAAGGAAAGGCTGAGAGACCTGGGGTTCTTTAGCCTGGAAAAGTGAAGATGAGAGGGGACCTTATCAACACTTATAAAT